AAAGACCAACGAACAAAAAAACAGAAACCCAGAACTTGTTTCGGAACCACAAGACAAGCTGGAAAAGTAACCGGGGTACAGACACAAAGACGTGACCATGATGAAGCTGTTGAGCCAAAGGACGAGTAGTGTCAGTCGTAGTGCCTGCCCCCTTCCAACTGGCAACCACTAAATAAAACTGCCCGTCTCCCCAAGGAAATCAGCGACTGGCAAAGCACACTCAAGACCATTCGACTCAGGCCCAGAATCAAAACAAACAACAATGGTCATCACAGACCAGATACCAAAAAAGCCAGAGACTTTGGTAACAAAGACTGGGGAAATGCAAACAAATACAACTTTTTCGCTGCCCCGAACTGAGATGTTGATTTGAATGCCCCGCACAAATATTATATTATTATTATCATCGTCATCGTTGCATCTTCATGGTCTCTTGTTGTCTGTCTTTTGAACGTGCCCCTTGCGGCTTCCGGTCTTGAAAGAAATCAATAAAACACGAGACACAAATATCCGTGAAAAATAAAGGGGGAAACAAGATCCACTTAAATGGCCTCTGATCGAGGGGCATTGTTAGTTTTTGTTGATAAAAGAGTATTTTGACACAACAATAAAATCGGCTTGGGATTTACAACTAAGTATACACAAGATATAGACAACTGTCCAATAATTTAAGAGATTATATTTGTATTATAAACGTCTTCTTTGTCAAAAAGGGATTTATGTACATGGTTTAATTCAAGGGTTTTACAATTCTGATTGTACCATACCAGTCTTTATAAAATATTCTCTAGTTTACACCTTAAACTAATTATATATTTTTCTTCTCTTTCCAGGTAAGTTCCAAATTCAAAAAAAATATGCAATTCCCAAAACTCCCAAACGGTTTGCGTAAGTTTATTGTGATGACCATTAGCCAAATGGCATATTTAAACGGATAACATCAATTTTTCGGAGCGGCAGCGATTCAGCAATTGTACAAATAATGGAGACTGCAATCTTGATCTTTCACCAGCCACTGGGACAGAGACCTCCATTCTGGGGGAGAAAAAAAAACATCGAAGTTGCAGCGACTCCAAGTCGGCGGATCAAAGGCGATCCACTCGGACTTGGCTGTGGGTTTGTGGCCACGTCCCCGGACCGATCTCGTCCCTGGCTTTTAATGATGATTTGCTATTTTTCTGTGCCCGCTGTGAGAGCCCGCGGCTTTCAGTCGCCTCACCCAGGACTTGGATGCTCATGTCTCTGTTTTTTTTAGCTTCGAAGCTTCGAAAGAGGCGAGTGAGCGCCGCAAACAATCAGAACGGATTAGTTTGTTAATCATTTTATTATGTGGCAGACCTCTAGATTCGATTTGAGAACACATTATTTTCGGCCACAGGCCAGGCACCTAAACCAAAGACCAAATAAGAGAAGATCCCAATGAGAAATCGAATAAAGATACGAATCTAATGGGGGCATATGGTGAAAAGGAATCCCAAACAGGAAATCAGAACTGATTAAGGAACACCCAAGTTCGCTTGGTATACAAATGTCTGGTTGAGTTTCTCTTGTTTTACCCTGGTTTCTGCGTTTAAAAATAGTTTCTATTTAGCACACGCTATCTTATCTAGCTGGAGTGGCTAATTCTCTCCTGATACGGCAAATCAACATTTTCCAGCCTTAATCAGCCGTCAAGCAACGGGGGCTTTTCAATCACTATGGAGTCACACGGGTTAGCATCTTGCACTTCCATCTTCGTTAATTTTCCGCTATCTGGAAAATCAATCAGCATTGCAGGAAAATTTATCCATGATTCGGCAAGGTCAAAGTCATCAGACCTGGCCGAAAACTCCCGTTGAGATGCAACTGACACCCGACCTTGGAAGGCCTTCCTCAATTAGTCATTAGTGACGTTGTGGCAACCACCCACTCCGCCCACATCATCCTGGCGAACTTTCTCTCTCGCTTGAAAGCCAAGCGGAAAATGTTTCATCAATCATCAAAAATTCCAATGCAAATTAGAAGGAGACCAGCTCGCCACCGCCCCCGCATAATAAATCAGGAGACCATGTGACAACTGCCACAGTTTCTTCTGCTTTTTTTTTATGTAAATCGAACAAATGTCAAGTGCTGCAGTTGCATATTGCTGGTTGCTGTTTGCTGGTTGCTGGTTGCTGTTTCGGGGGCATAAATCATTGAAAAGGTCAAAGGGCTCACGCCTACAGCATGCCGCTGACACCAACACACACCCAGCTACAAGAGACAACACATGGTCGCCCGATGTCTGCAACAATTGTCAAGTGGGTAGCAACATTCGTTGTTGCTGTTGCAGCATGATTTATGCTCTACACTTTCGGTGGCTGGCTGAATTTATTGTATTTATCGGCCAGGGCGTGCGACCTACTTCTTTCCCTAATCGAAGGTTAGGTCTTTTTGTAGTAACTGCTTATCAGGTGAATGCTATTATCAGTTACTTATCAGGGAGGTGCTTTTTATATGTCAACTGGTTAAATGCTGGTTTTATAACAAGTTCCCGAGCGAAATAAACCTTTTCGTCGGCTGCCATTGAACTTGAACTTTGTTTTCTGTCTGCAACACAAAATGCCAGCGATAAATTTTGCAATGCATCAGCGGCAACAGCGGCAACATTGACAGTCAAATTAAAGTTGGCTATTTTGTTGCTCTTTTTTGTTGTACAGTGTCTGCATATCCGTTTAGCATATGGCCCCTTGGACTGGCATCTCCCCGCCATTTGGCCCCCCTATTTTTTATCCCCCCCCTGACTGCGTGTCGCTCGCAGCTGATGCATAACCGTTTTACGCTTCGTTGCCTCCAAAGTGCAAATGAACTGCAACAACAGCAACCAGAAACATAGCAACATAGCAACATGAGCAACATGGAGTCTCCCACTTCCACAGTTTGAGGGAAACTGTAGAATAACTGAAGAAAGAACATTGTTTGAGAATGAGATTCTTGCTTTTTCATTTGAATGATATTTCCCCCCTAGGTTTTTTCAGACTTTTCTTCAAGCCAACCTTAAATGTTTGACTTTTAATGTTTGGCGCAAATGACCTTTTAAAGGACCTTTTATAAAAGTCATTTTTGTGTCCATTAGGGGTATTCATGCTTAATAGATAACTAATAGTTGTCACTGTGCTTAAATTCAATTTCATTAAACTAATTGGTTGCTTTCTGCATCTGTAATCATCACTGCTGAATGATCTAATGATTTTTCCTCTAGCAGAGAGTGACTTCATAGCACTTTTAATTGAATATTTAAGCCAAAATGATACAAACCTCTCAAGCCCGAGAGTGGGTGGCTAACAGCAACTCTGCTCTGTAATCTTAGATCGCCTTATAGCTAAACAATTTGATTCCATATACGAATAAGTATGCCTCCCGAAAGCTATAGCATGTATAATTATATTGAATTAAATACTCCCCGTATCGGCTACTGGCCCGATACTAACATTAGCACTGGTATGCGGCTAGTTAATTCTACTGGACATAGGAGTGACCTCATCGAAGCTACTATTTACCGGCACCCATACCCCCAATTATTTAATGGAATACAAATAGGAGACTTTGTACGGAGATTGTTTGCCAATGTAAATTTTTCAGACTCTGTTTAGCTTTTCGATAAAAATCTAGCACGTTTTGCTGTTTAATTTGCTTCCCATTTATGCAAATTCTGATGGCACGCTTTAAAAGTGTAGGATGCTATTATTCTGAATAGAAATCCGTCATCACTAGATTATTCTCCCCGCATCTGAAAAAAGTAATTGAAAAGTTCAAGGCCAGTTCCTGGCAAAAGCTGTAAAAAAAAGCCTGACTTAATGGCCGGCTTTTAAAAATAATTATTTTGCACTGGTTGGGAAAATGGTTCGTTAATACTGTTTAATTGCTGGGGCCTGTGGCGCACAAAATGATGAGCAGGATAAGCAGGATGAGGAGGATGAAAGGACGAGCTTATCCTGCAAGTGCCCGCTTATCTTCCTCTGTGTCACGTTACTCATACGCACCGTAATCAATTTTTATGCTTGCCGCTTACGTGAGTTGGCAGCAAAACAATAGAGATATTCCGGAGAACCAAAGACCGTTCTTCCGATATGCAGATGCGGAGAAAGTTGAAAGGGTTGCCTCCGCCAGGGCTTTGGGGGGTTACGAGTGGGAACTGGGTACGTGGCTTTTTAATGCGAGACGTGTTGATTGTAATGTGCCGTGTGCCGTGTGCCGTGTGCGTACGGGTTTAGTACTTGTTGTGATCACGTTTGCAAATTCATAATTTAATTAGTCTGGTGCAGTTGAAATTCCCGGCATGTCTCCCAATTTGTGGATAATAAAAATGCTAAAAAGCTTGGTCTAACCATTTAACGAGCAAAGGAAAGTATTCTGATTTAATAGGTGCACAGATGGATGCTACTTCCTCGGATTGAACTGCTTCCTTGGCAATTGCACCTTCCGTTCTGAGTCACCGCCGATTGTTCCCTGAATGAGTCCCTAATGGCGCTCATTTCTCGGCTGTAGTTAACTATTTTTTTCTCCCGGCTTCTATCCCCCCTTTTTGTGGCCAGTCACGTCGCCCCATAAAAAATAACCAACGATGCCAAAGTGCTGGGACAACAGAGTTCAGGTCAAATGGCCCAAGGGCTCGCTCATACAGGTTCCAATGCTCACACTGGCGAAAAATAGTTGTCCTTTTACTATTTTGGGTAATCACATAAGTTTCTCGCTCTTTCTTTCTATAATTACCCTTATTTTTCTCTGTGCTTTTGCCTATGAAAAGTTCTAAAGCCCGGCTTTGAGCCCCTGATCCCGGTGTCCGTGAGTCATGCCACCGAGGTGCGTTGCAAGTGGCTGGTGCAACGCCTTGCATGCCAAACAGCAACTCCTCGTCGGCTCTTTCGAATGCGAAACACGGAGAAGATGTGCTCAAAACGGGCGGCAAGGGTTATGATAAATTGCCAAGACTGTAGACCTGGCCTAAACCGCTCTTTCTGTTTCTCCCATTTTCTTTGCAGGCCCATGTGGTCACCGCCTTCGAGCAGTCCCTGTCGAACATGACCAACCGGCTCCAGCAGCTGACGGCGACGGCGGAGCGCAAGGACGGGGAGCTGACGGACATGCGCCAGACCATCGAGCTGCTACGCAAGCAGTCCATCCAGGCGGGACTGACCACGGCCCACATGCAGAGCATGGGGGTGCAGACCCAGGGTCAGGGTCAGCCAGGGTCGGACCAGAAGCCGCCGTCCTCAGGAGCCTTGCGTCCCACCAATGGAAACGGGACAGTGGGTGTGGGCATGCAGCGCCAGCACAGCACGGACTCTATGTGCTCCCTGAACTCCATCAGTTCTGGATGCTCGGCGGCCCAGGACAAGAACAAGGCCAACAAGAAGAAGGGCTGGCTAAGGAGCAGCTTCACCAAGGCCTTCTCGCGCAACGCCAAGATCTCAAAGACCAGTCGCCATGTGGGGCATCACCACCAGCACCACCACAATCAAACCCAGCCTCAGGATCAGCATACGCTCGGAAAATTGTCGAATGGCATAAATGGTGAGCCTCTGGGCCTCGCGGCTCTGGCCACTCAGCCACCTCCTCCTCTTCCAAACAGTAAACAGGGCAGTCCGGCCAAGACGGTCACCCTGATCGACAACGCCAAGCCCATCGACGCCATCGATCAGGAGGATCAGCAGGTGGTCGAGGACTTGAAGAAGCAGCTTCGGGAAAAAGACCTCGTCCTCACCGATATTCGCCTGGAGGCCCTAAGCTCGGCTTCCCAGCTGGAGAGCCTCAAGGAGATGATGAACAAGATGCGGGCCGAGATGAACTCCCTGAAGCAAAACAACGAACGCCTCCAGAAGCTAGTGACCACCCGCTCCTTGGCTGGTTCGGAGGCAAGTCTGGGTCAGGCCATCAGTCCCAATGGCTCGGTGGCCGGCAGCTCAGAGGTTTCCAGACGCTATTCCCTGGCCGATAGCACCAATCGGCCACCCATGGAGCTTCCAGCCCGCCTTAGCGAGGAACTGGAGCTGGAGGAGGATTGTCTGCCTCCGGCACCGGCCCCTGAGCCACCACCACCACCGGCTCCGAACGGCAACGGCGGTGTGGCCCCTCTGAGCCCCAGCACCCACATTGATCTGACTCCACCACCACCCGCTCTGGAGGCTGCTCCTCTGGCAAGTCCTGTTCACATGCCAAGCACCACCGAAGAGTTGACTGATGTGTGTGACGGCAAGAAGATCGCAATTTCCTGCTACTTGGGCCAGCCGGACGCCTTCGCCAAATACTGCGAGGAGCTGCAGGAGCTGGACGGTTTCTATGCCAACGGTCACGACCTGGATGCTCAGTCCCAGTCGGAGCGCAAGGCTAACTTTGCCGCCGCCAGCTGCAACGAATTCGTGATCGCTTGCACCTACATCTCTGGCAAGACCACCTGGCAGAACCTGGACTACGTGGTGCGCAAAACCTTCAAGGACTACGTTGCTCGCATCGATCCGGGCACCAACCTGGGACTGAATACCGATTCCATTACCTCGTACCACTTGGGCGAGGCGAAGCGCGGTCCCGAGATGGGCTTCCCGGAGCTGCTGCCCTGCGGCTACATTGTGGGCAGTGTGCGTACTCTGTACATCTGCCTCCAGGGCGTGGGCAGCCTGGCCTTCGATAGCCTCATTCCCCGGAGCATCGTGCATCGATACATCAGTCTGCTCACAGAGCACCGTCGCCTGATCCTGTGCGGGCCAAGTGGCACTGGAAAGTCCTACCTGGCTCGCCGTCTGGCCGAGTTCTTGGTAGCACGAGCAGGTCGTGGAAATCCTTCCGAAGCCATAGCCACATTCAAGTAAGTCCTGAAACAATCACATAGAATTTTATAGAGTTTAACCATTACTTTCCTTTTACTTTTCTCCAGTGTTGACCACAAATCCTCAAAGGATCTGCGTCAGTATTTGGGCCACATTGCCGAGCAGGCTGCCATAGCCAACGGCGCCTCAGAACTCCCCTCTGTGATCATTCTGGACAACCTGCACCATGCCTCCGCCTTGGGCGATGTCTTCTCCTGTCTGCTCAGTGCTGGTCCAGCTACCAAGCTGCCCTGCATCATTGGCACCATGTCGCAGGCCACCTGCAACACCACCAATCTCCAACTGCACCACAACTTCCGATGGGTAAGAGTACACATAAATATAATATTAAAGAAAGTTTATTAATAAAACTATAATTTGTAGGTGCTAACTGCCAATCACATGGAGCCCGTGAAGGGATTCCTGGGCCGGTTTCTGCGCCGCCGCCTCTTCCAGCTGGAACTGCAGACACAGCATCCTCAGCCGGAACTGGCGACTGTCCTGGCCTGGTTGCCCACCGTGTGGCAGCACATCAACCGATTCCTGGAGGTACACAGCTCCAGCGATGTGACTATCGGTCCTCGACTGTTCCTCGCCTGTCCACTAGATCTGAAGGACTCCCAGGTGTGGTTCACCGATATCTGGAACTACCACCTGTCGCCCTACTTGGTGGAAGCTGTCCGCGAAGGTGTGCAGCTCTACGGACGTAGGGGAGGTGCCTGGAATGACCCTTCGGCCTTTATCAGGAACTCGTATCCCTGGCCTTACGGTCCGGATTCGGTGCCACCTCTGCGCCAAATCAATGCCGAGGATGTGGGCCTCGAAGGAGTGGCCTTGGTCAACGGCGAACAGCAAGATCCTTTGGTAAGAATAAGCTTTTTCTTTTTATAGACTTCAAAAACTAATAGTGATCCTGATTCCACAGCTCAATATGCTGATGCGCCTGCAAGAGGCAGCCAACTACTCGGAGGCACAGGACCAGGAGTCCGATTGCGCTAGTCTGGACTCCAATGTGACGCCCGACAGTTCGGCGGGCGCCGAGTAAGCAGCAACCACTTCTTACATGCCAAATTTTGAAGGACTAACTACCGGATCTGCCGACCGGGGCCACGACTTTCTGCACCATCCTGATTCACCCATCCGCACAAATGAGATTTCTTGCACTACTTTCGCAGCCAAGCAGTCAAGCCAAGAGGTTTCCATTTGCACTCCTGCCCATCATCGCCCTCTAATGCCTTCCCCCATCCTGTCATCTAGAATAAATTGCACTTTTTAGCGCACTTGTTAAAAATGCAAATTGTCCAAGCCCAGAACCAAAGCACCATCACCATCACTAAAGACATGATCCTGGCCCCGGCTGCACTTCCAAGCCCCCCCAAACCAACATAGAAACTTGGGAGATAAATCTTAATCCAACATGAAATGTTAAACAAATTGAGGAAATGAAATTATAGGTTTTGTAAATAGGAACTACCAAAATCCCCTAAGCTTAAGTGAGAAACTGTTCGGCGGTATTGACTTTTTATAGCCTTTACCCTTTACTAGCCCTACCCCGGCAGATCGTATATTACCATATATGAACGGCAACTAACCTAATATCTAAAAATCTATTGTAAATGTAGCCTTAAGTTTTTGCTACTACCAATTTACAAAGTGTATATTTGAAGGAAAAAGCTTTCACTTTAGTTTAATTATTTGCGTAATTATCATTAAATATTGTTACAAACATATTGCATATTTATAAAACCCAATGAAGCAAAATACCATTTAAATATTTATTATGCCAAGACGCGCTTGAACACAGGAATATGCGAAAGTGAATACGTAATGGAATACCCTTTCCTCAATAAAATAGCTAAATTAACAACACTCCCATCTCCCAATCAGATGATATACACATATACTACCAATAGAATCGATAAACTGCAATTTATGTGTCTCTGTCTAATTTAAATGTGTGCATTTATGAGATATGACATCAAATCAAAATAAAATATAATATCAAACATATATTTCTTTCTTTATAATGGGCGGATATAAAGTGCATTATAGCGGGTGGTTTTAAAAATAAATAAAAATGTCTCATGTCGTTAATATTCTTTCAAAGAAACTGGATACAAAGAAACCTTAAGTTTAAAAACATAAATGCCTAACTATGGCAACAGATTCAACTCCATTTTTTTCTTAATTTAGACAAAAACTTAATATCTATCAAAACTCAAAACCTAATATCTAAATAACATAAACTTTTAGAAAAATATGACATCAATGGCAGTTCCAATTTGGTTCTCCATCTCCTTCGCTTATCCAGGTCGAAGAGAGCGGCATTTCGTGGTCCTGTTTCCAAAGCTTATTCTCATTGTTTGAAAAATTAAATTCAAAATCAAAATTTTGAAAACCCTCAGAAAAGTTTTGAAAATTATCATTGAAGTGGCAGAATAATGAATCATCGTTAAAATCTTCAAAGCCTTTATCTAGACTGTAGTTATTATACCAGTCATCTTCAAGTTGATCCTGCAAGTTCGAAGATTCAAGCAGCTCCTGATGCCCATCATCAACTTCGATTCCGAAGAATTGACTCCATGCATTCGATTTTGCAGTTTTTCGACTGGGCATCAATGTGATTTCGCCAAAAGAAAAGGACAGCCTGTAGTCCATGTGCCTCACCTGGGCGGCTGATTGGGGATCCAGGGCGATGGCCATCTGAACTCCGGCAGCGCCCTTCGGTTTTCGATGATAAACTCGCCAGTCGGATACACGTAGCCCCTTGTTTTGACCGCCAAGAAGAGCCAGGATCACGTCGGGATCGTCGCCGCACTGACCGATAGGAAAATAGCCAACAAACACCTCAGTCTTCGGAATCGCAGAGTCAGGCATAGTTAGCAGATCAATGTTACCCGGCATTATTTGTAGGGTTCCAACCTCCGCCTCGAGCCACTCGGCGGTGATACTGTCCCGGCAGGTTATAGTCATCCAGCCCGGACGAAATTTGGATCCACCAAAAAGGGGCTTTACGTTTCCTTCCCTTTGCTCCACAATCGATTGCAGTATAGCTGTTTCTATGTCTTGAAGCTGCTGGGTAGTCAACAGGACTTGTGGAAATCCCAAGGGGATAATAGCCAACTTTATATCTCCTTCTGTAGGCCACAGATTCTTTGGATGCGATCGAACGAATTTGGATTTCATGTAATTACATCGCTCAAGTTGTTCCCGGGCTTTTTTCATACTAAGTCCGAGCTTAAGAAGATTTTTGAGCTTCTTTTTACCCGCGCGAGTTAGTTTGTTCATTTTTCTATTTAATTTTGTGGCCAATCAAAGGTATCCCTCCAATTCTCTGAATGTTTTGGCGTTCTTTGAATCCCGTTACAATAGCGAGGAAACTTATCCCCACAAAAAGTTTCGATAACTGCTTTCATAAACCCGTTCTAGGGCCTGTCTACACGTTTCATTTGACAATAATTGCATGACAAATTATTTAGTTGTGCAAAACAGCATCTAAAATGTGGAACTCATAACATTTTTTCCTTTAATTTGAAAAATTTCAAAACCAATTTAAGTTTTCCCGCTAATAACTATGCGCATTTGAATTACCTGGCCACTTTAATAATCGTCTACGTTTACGGCCTTTCCAACACTAAACGCTTGCGAGCCGCTAAAAATGCTCATCTCAGACAGTGAAACGGTAAAATCAGTGAGACCATGCTCTTAGTAGGAAGTGTTTTATTTATTTACATTTTTATTGTTATGCTACCTTAAAATTTAACAATTATTAGATTAGAGATTTCATTGTCCATTTCCGAGCGAGCTGCGTTTGTTGTTTTTAAAGGGTACAGCTTCTAGTTGTCCGTCTTTGTCCACGAATCTTGTATGCATTCCAGCGGCAATAAATCGCTTCGTTGCAGGCATATTTAGTCTAGGGGCTGCAAGGGAGGCGTCTATTTCCTTGTCACGGGCCATACTCTCCCTGGCTCGGGACAAATCGTGAAGTATACCATGCTTGGATACGTCTTCTCCTTGCAATTTCAGCTGTATCCAAAACAACGTGCTGCACAAATATGCCAGATAGCTGTCCAGTTTAATTTTATCGTTTGTAGTCAGATGGCGTGACTTTTGCGCTACAAGTGCTTTTTGTATATCTGCTTCCAAGGTATCAATGTACGAGTGCAAGTCCTTCACCATTCCTTCCAGTTTAGTATCATCTTGGAGATTAGCATCTTTGAAGTATGAGGATGACATTGTAACTAATTTAAACTATTTTCAGTAATTGTAACCAAAACAACGTTTATGCTTCTCAAGGTGTGATTGTTTTTAGGCTATGTTGAAATTCACGCTGGTCACATTTTTTTTTTAAATTCGATGCCCAAATTAGCTTGAATTTTTAAAAATTGAAGTAAAGTAAAGGCTTATTATTGTAGTTTGCCCAATTTTTATATATATCTTTATTTAAAAAGATAGTACTTCGTTAATTTTTTATATTTAGTATTTCATGTTTAGTAGGACCATTTCTTTTCCGCCATCGATTTTCGATAACCGCGATTGCAGCTCTTCATTATTTTGCAGCGAGTCCAAGTAGGTAAAAGTGTTTAAAAAAATATTAAAATTGCAAAATAAGGCAAAACATACGAGCAACGACGGCTTCTGTATAATAAAGTGGGCGTAAAATGGACCCCAGAGTGGGAAAAATCCATTGACGCTGCTACGTAAGCGGAGTCTTATGCTTCTGGACGCCCCAACGATTACACAACAGCTGTAGAAGCGGTGAAAAATGGGAAAATTATACGGATGAAGGGCACGAGTCCAGGAAAATATACAAGATAAATTTATACAGATGGGGATGTTGCTCTGGCGGCTATGCAAATGGGATAAACTAATAATCACGTACTGCTCCTGCTGTTACATAACCTTCATACGTCATTTCCATTAATTGCAATCACGTCTTCCTTGTTATTGCAGAAAAAAGAAATATGGCTCTCAGACTAATCAACAACGCTGTGCTCCGCCAGTTGGTGGCCCAGCTGCCCAAGAACGCCCAGATGGGCAGTGTTGCTGGTGTCCACACTCTGGACAAGATTGGCAAGCGGGAGATCGTAGGCTTCGGCTGGAACGGCACCGCCTGCTACGCCGACCGCGTGGACTACCCTCTGCCCGCTGTCCGCTTCAGGGAGGCCAACAATGAGATCAACGCTCTGCGCACCAAGGAGCAGGGTGATTGGAAGAAGCTGAGCCCCCAGGAGATCAAGGCCCTGTACCGCGCCAGCTTCTGCCAGACGATCGCTGAGGTCCAGGCTGGAACCGGAGAGTGGAAGATGCACTTGGGCGTTGGTCTGCTCTTCACCGCCGCCGCCATCTGGGTGGCCGTTCTGATGAACCTGTTCGGTAAGTTGCCAAATATCGCTTAGCAAGTGCCCGCAGTAACCAATCCCATTCCAGTGTACGACGAGCTGCCAGTGACCTTCGATGAGGAGCACCAGAAGGCCCAGCTGAAGCGTATCATCGATCTGGAAATCAACCCCGTCACTGGATTGACCTCCAACTGGGATTACGAAAACAACAAGTGGAAGAACTAAGTCCGCTATTCCATAAAGTCCTTTGTGTGTGAGCGAGCGTATTTAAGCAAACAGTTAGCCGACTTCTTATTTGTATTAAGTGGAAACAAGATAGTCGAAATTAAAGTTATGGCTTCTGCCGCCTAAACTAAAAGGTGGAAGTATTCATTGTGTATTTTGACTTAAAAGGTAAACTTGCAGAACAACAAGCTGAATGTGGAATGTCCAATCTAGGCTAAATTACAAGCAGAACTTGCCATTTTGCTAATCTCTCATCATTCTCAATGAATCAAGGATGCATCGCCTCAATCAGGATTCTATTTTCAACAAAACTCGAAAATATGAGCGCTGTTGACCACGTCAATAGAGGGTGTCTAAAAAGCGGATTTTTGGGCCACATTTAGGCCAATAGCTAAGCCATTTCGTATCGTATTTGTGAAATGAATACCATTCTTGAATCAGGGTTCTAATTGTCATTATTCTGCATCCAAATATTATAAAAATAGAGAAGAAAAATTTGTAGTCGAGTTTTGCCCAAAATCATGATGTTACCCCTATGAAAATTTGCAAAATCGGGTCAGATTTTAGTTGGCAAGGTTTTGATGCAGAATTATTCTGCTAGGATATCTAAGATCGGGAAGGTATAACATTCATCGATTGGATAATTATTTCCCGAGTTATGGATATTTTTCTGAAAAAAAATCCCGCTGGAAAACCTTGTTGACCAAGCTAAGAACAGGATGGCCAAAATGGTTACTTTTGAGACACTTTCTAGCACATATTTCAGTTATTTTTTAGCGGATTTGGAAAAGGATTACCATTCAGTGATCAGGAAACTCATTGCCTTCAATCAGCATCAAAACTTGACCAAAATCGAGAAATAAAATTTTTGGTCGTTTTTTGGCCAAAATCATGATGTTACCCCTATGAAAATTTGGAAAAATCGGGTCAGATTTTAGTTGGCCAGGTTTTGATGCAGAATTATTCTGCTAGGATATCTAAGATCGGGAAGGTATAACATTCATCGATTGGATAATTATTTCCCGAGTTATGGATATTTTTCTGAAAAAAAATCCCGCTGGAAAACCTTGTTGACCAAGCTAAGAACAGGATGGCCAAAATGGTTACTTTTGAGATACTTTCTAGCACATATTTTGGTTATTTTTTATCGGATTTGGAAAAGGATTACCATTCAGTAATCAGGAAACTCATTGCCTTCAATCAGCATCAAAACTTGACCAAAATCGAGAAATAAAATTTTTGGTCGTTTTTTGGCCAAAATCATGATGTTACCCCTATGAAAATTTGGAAAAATCGGGTCAGATTTTAGTTGGCCAGGTTTTGATGCAGAATTATTCTGCTAGGATATCTAAGATCGGGAAGGTATTACATTCATCGATTGGATAATTATTTCCCGAGTTATGGATATTTTTCTGAAAAAAAATCCCGCTGGAAAACCTTGTTGACCAAGCTAAGAACAGGATGGCCGAAATGGTTACTTTTGAGACACTTTCTAGCACATATTTTGGTTATTTTTTATCGGATTTGGAAAAGGATTACCATTCAGTAATCAGGAAACTCATTGCCTTCAATCAGCATCAAAACTTGACCAAAATCGAGAAATAAAATTTTTGGTCGTTTTTTGGCCAAAATCATGATGTTACCCCTATGAAAATTTGGAAAAATCGGGTCAGATTTTAGTTGGCCAGGTTTTGATGCAGAATTATTCTGCTAGGATATCTAAGATCGGGAAGGTATAACATTCATCGATTGGATAATTATTTCCCGAGTTATGGATATTTTTCTGAAAAAAAATCCCGCTGGAAAACCTTGTTGACCAAGCTAAGAACAGGATGGCCAAAATGGTTACTTTTGAGATACTTTCTAGCACATATTTCAGTTATTTTTTAGCGGATTTGGAAAAGGATTACCATTCAGTAATCAGGAAGCTCATTGCCTTCAATCAGCATCAAAACTTGACCAAAATCGAGAAATAAAATTTTTGGTCGTTTTTTGGCCAAAATCATGATGTTAATTTTAAAATTTTGAAAATTGCCCAGGTTTTTATTTTGAATTAAAGTACTCAGTTCCCCAACATTGGGAAGGTACTACATCCGTCATACATGCCCAAACGAACTAACAAGTAACAAAGATGCTAACATGGGTAAAAAAAATATCAACCTCTGACTTTATATTGTACATGCCTTTAAAGTTTATACTTTTGTTTCCATCTGGAAAATTGTTTTCAGTGCTGTGAAAACTCGGCCTCAGCCAAGGGAAGTCAAGTTAATGTAATTCGTTTAAACAATTACTCTTAATCGGAAAGTATAAAATGAACAATTAATCAGTGATCAGGAGATATATGTAGGTGAACAAGGTTTCTATTACCCATTGTGTTTAGTGGGAAATGTTAAGATTCTATTCTATAACGGCATACAGAGATCGCGTGTAGATCCGACCTTGCAACCAATCAGCCAATATGATTTAGATGATGAGCCTTCACACGGCTTGGCCAATTCTTCCACCGACCTTCCTTCTCGATATTATGGAAACCATCGTGTCCCCTTACGTGACGTAACTTTCCAATAACATAAAGTGACTGGAAGCTAAGAAAGTATATCTAAAAAAATCATTTTTGGGATTTTTTACTCATTAGGAGATTAATGATTCTTACCCAGAAGTAGATAACAACCCGCATCATGGATACAACTACAATAGTCTCCAGCTGAAACACGATTTTGCTGAAGTGTTTTGCCACCTAATTAGATTTGTCATGCCGGGAGCTCTTAGTATAGGGTGTTATTTTAGAACGACCTTCTGTTGAACCCAACTAATAATAATTTAAGAATCATTTCAAAAAAATTATTTCCATGTTCTATGATGTTTGGCATCATAAAAAGATTTTTTTCTTGAATTTCGGAATCTATAGTACATGGTAGTCTAGTCTTTTTGTAAAGATATAGCACCTGAGGGTAATTCTAACTTAAGGATGTATAGTCACTTCAGGAGTAATCTTTTTAAGAGCGGGGGTGGTGAACGCATCATTCCAAGTTGCCCAGTGTTTCTCTTTTTTAAGATTGTGGAAGCCATCATGCGCTCTCACGTGACGTGGTCCCGGTCTGTGTTTTCCAGGACTGACATATGGGTCACCACCATTGTCATGATGAGTTTGGGCCGCATGTGGGTCTTCGTGGAGGTGATCTGTTGAGGTGATATTCTCAGTTCCGCCACTTGGTGAAACTGTTGTCCTGTTAGTTACTCCATTTTCAGCTCCAGTCACACCTCCCGCGGCTGTGGTTACTTCTGTTCCTGAAGATACTTTTTCAGTTCCAGTTGCCCCAGCAACGGTTGCAGTGGTGGCTGCTGCCGTGGTTTCCTGCGCTTTCAGTGTACCCGCAAATAAAAGAACCAATCCGACCTAATGGCATAGTCCATTCCTAAATGTTAGCATGCAAAAAGTGGAAATGCCCTTACCAAGCGCAGTTTGAATCCCATCATGTCAACGTCACACCTGTCAAATACTGAAATGAGCTGAAACCAGAAGCAACGACTGGGCAAAGCCACCTTTTATAGCTCTGGCGCAGGTTAAATTGATTAGAGCAGCCGCAGCAATCGAAATTGATTGGAGGAGTCGCTGATATTTTGCGGGCAGAGCGAATCGATGACGGTTCTTCATAGCATTTGGCATAATAACGAACGCAGATGGGGAATTCCGGGCCGACGCACTGAGCACCTGATGCGGTTAAGCCTGGCATCGGGTTTTTCGAAACAGAGAGAGCTACGGTGAGCTGATTGCTCTGGGCTAGGTTTAATTGTGGGCTTTACGATTTCCATAATTGTGGGCGATGTAGCCGGCTATATAAGCCAGCCCTCGGCGAACTTGCTCCCAACAGTTCTCGATCAGCACTTGCCAGTTACAGTGAAGTCCCCAAGATGATCATAAAAATCTTGTTAATCAGCCAGGTGGGTGTTTCGTCTTGGACAGTCAGACACAAGGGATCACTAATGGCTTCCTTTTCCCCATCTAGTTGCTGGCCCTAAGTTACGCGGGATTATCGGTGGAGGAGGCCAAAAGGCAAATCGATGCCTCGGTTTATAGCGATGAGGAAACAGGCGACGACGCCCACCATCCAGAGCCACACCTACCGCCGCAGTATTATCCCCACAAGAAGACCACCACTCCCGCACCGGAAACAACCACAGTTGAGCCGGAGGTTGAGCAAAGCAGCGAGGCTAATCTTGTCCCGAGTGATGATCTGAATCAGTTGGACGATGGACTGCTTCAGGCCAATGACGGAGCAGCAGCAGCGGTCTCCACAACTCCGGAGCCCGAGACTACTACTACTACGACGACAACCACCACGACTACGACAACGCCAAAGCCGAAGGAACACAAATATGAGCCTCACCCGCACCCGTACCCGCATCCGCATCCATATCCCCATGTTCACCCATACCCTTCTCCCCCCCATTTCCCTTCTGGATCCTATCCTGCAACTGGCACTAAAAGCCCCAAGGAAAGTGAAGACGAGTCCCCCGAACTGAATGGATACTCTCCCTATCCAGGCTTCAGACCCTACAGACCCATCCTGTTCCAGCCTCCAGTTCTAAATCATTCCCCCAATTGGCCCAACATCCATGGATTTGGGCCGGGACCTAGTTTTGGCCATCCCCATGAAGAGGAATCCGGGGAGGAGGCCAAGGACAAGGGCAAGGGCAAAGATAAGGCCGGGGAAGCAGAAGAATCCGAAGAGGATGTGCCTTTACGTCCACCAGGCTTTGGTTACCCTCCGGTGTTCGTGATTCCCCACCGCCCTGTGATCAGAGTACCCAGCTTTCCCTCACCAAGTGGTGGCTATGGATCACCCTACGGCTATGGGCGTTACTAATTCTTAATACGGAATACTAGTTAAAACAGCTTAGATAGAATCTCACGTCTGTATTTAAGAATGCTTTATTAACATGTACTGTAAAAATTTATAATGTGATTAAACTTGCTACAAACAAAAATTTAATTGTTTTGTTTCTTAAAAAATAGGAATAGGAAATAGATGATTTGGTTCGTAATATATGAAAAATATATTAACCTTTGTATGATGTTTGGAAAATTGAAAAGTTTTTTGCGCATTTTTGCAAATTATTGATTTCTGATTTCTCCGTCGTGATTTCCCCGTGCTGATAACCCCGGAGCCGGGTTCTCTCACATTGTCACTTCCCGCCAAACGGGTTGAGAGCACCGATGCAATTTAATTGCATTACATTCCACATAAAGTATTCATAGTTCTGTCGATCGTCGGGTGGTAGAGACGTTCAAGCTGCCAAGCTCTGCAAAATGCGGTTCCACTTACAACTATCTATTATTTTACTCGGATTTCTTTTCGTTCTACAAGGGGTAGGTTAAATTGAAAAGTTATAGAAAATAATAATAACATTTTCAAAAAAAATTGTAGTTCTGTCACACTTTGCCGGAAAAAAAGGTAAGTGGATCAGCTTATTTTAAAAGCCTTTATGTGAATAATTTCTAATTTAATATTAGATACGAACCACACGTGATACAATTAATATACCCACTCACTTGTTTAAGCCTGTGGAAGAAAATCCTGAAATAATTAAAGATAATTCCTACAGACAGGGCAATGGAACCAATGCCGAGAATGATAACAACGCAAGTCTTTTAGCGGTGAGCTAAGAATCATCAATATATACATTATTTAATATTATTGAAATAAAAATTATAGAGATCTAGCGGAGTTTCAGGAGAAGACCCAAGGCTTTTAGAGGTGAGCTAAGAAACATCAATATATTATTTAATATTATTTAAATAAAAATTTTAGAGATCTAGCGGAGGTGTGGAGACAGTTTCAGGAGAAGAGGAAGATGAAGGAGAATTAATCCCCAATTTACCCCAGCAATACTTCCCCCCAAATTTGCGATCGAACAGCAGATTTCCAAATCAAGACTTTCGCTCAAGACCCAGCATTGATGTTGATCCTAGAGTTCAATTTTCTTCGCGTCCCGTTTTCGGTGATAATTCCTGGCCTCCGAACACTGAGTTACCCAGACCCAGAATACCTAATAACCAGGTAAGTTAGTGAGTCTGCTGAACATTTGTCCATTTTCTTAATTGATCTTTTTAGTTTCGCCCTCCAATCCGAAGTTCCTTAACTCCCTTTATTGCTGGGGGCCAAAATGAAGATCCTTCCGCTACAGCGCGCGATGGCTTCATCCGGGCTTTCAACAATGCGCAAGGAAGAACTTTTTACCAACCAAACAATCCCATGAGAGGTCCTTCTTTCCTGAATGGCTCTGGAGAAAGCCCTTTTCCCTCGCCGATGGGTCCTTCGAGCTCCTCGAATAACTTTTTCCGCTCGGAGTCTTATAGTTACACCTCAGATGGCCACGGACCACCGCAAGTCGAGACAAGTGTATATGATTCAAGGAATGGCAATGGCTTTGGATCGTCAGTGAGACGTAACTTTTAGACTTTGCATATAATTTCAACGCATCTGCTAGAATCATCGGTACCTAGTATGCACATGTATATTTATTACTTTATAATAAAATCCATTGCTATTCGAAACTATTGACGTCTCATCTGATAACATTCAATAAACCTTAATCGCCTATTCAAATTCCAGTCTAACTGGAAATTGCAGGGGTAAGACATAAAGTTTTCTAACCGGAAGTGGTTTCCATTTAAATTGTTTGTTATTGCGTTACACGCATTATAATTAAGTAACAACCGTTGTGTGACGACAATTAAGTATTAGAAAACTATTTAATCAAATACACTTTCAAGCAAACAAGTACTTTTGACTAAACAACATCTCAATCTTTTCACCAATGTCATTTTCGTTTTTGAAATCATTGTACCATTCAATGAAGTCCGCTTTTCTGGCCACCTTGCTGTCAGACATTCCCATTATATATTTTTCAATCCTTTGCTCGATTTTGTGCATCGTTTTGTCAAATTTGGTAACCAACTTTTGTTCGAAAACGTCAATGCCGTGCTTCTGGAGAATTCGCACCACAATCTGATCCGTTTCTGATAGATCCGGATAGTCGGATGGTTCAAAAATGTTTGCTAGGCCAAGGAGGTCAAACATTTCCCCGATTTCATCCAGTTCCTCAGAATTTTCGTCCAATTCCCCGATAAGGCTGACCAGTTTTTTTATGTCCGTCAAGAGAAAGCTCCTTGAGTCAGGAGGTAAGACCCTCTCGGCTTCATCAATTACTGGCTGAAGGAACCTGGCAATCTCGTCCAGAGTGCTCGAAAGCAGTTGGACCACCTCGTTGGCCACGTACAAATCCAACTGAATATTGGCCATTATGGGAGCTGCACCCTGAGAGATTATGTTAAATAATTTAGTCATTGAATGGCTTCTTAGTCAAAAAAGGTCCTTACCGACGACTGCATAGCAGCCAGGGTGACGAGAAGCGAGCACAGCACTCGATTCATCATTGTATCTAAAATGTATTGAGTTCTCGGCCTGAAGCTCCTCTTATATTCTCAAAGATCTTACGTGATTGTTGTTTAAAATGTTAAACAAAAACAAGACCGCCCCTGTAATAATCAGTCAGTGATCGTGGGACTGCTCGCAAGCTGTAATCAATCCCCAGACTGGCAACGAGCGTGATTGGAACGTTTTGCTCAAATGCTATCCCCGGGAATCTTTGTCTTTGTTCTGTTGACATTGACGGTTAGTAGCCCTCATTTACCAAAAAGTTGCCCTCTCGTATAGCTTCCTCTTTCAGTTGGCATGTGCCTCGTCTCGGGGCGACAGTCTCCGCGAACTGCGAAAGCTGATGAGGCAGCAGGATGCGGACTCCGTTCAGCAGTTCGATCAGGACATAAACGAGTGGGCCCGGAACCTGGCAGGATTTGGACTGCAGATGGCCGAGTTTGTTGAGGGGTGTCGCCAGCCCGAAAGTCATTGCCAGAAGCGACTAGTCCTGAGGCAGCTTAGGAGCCTCCGGCGCGGGTACACGGACTTCAGGGCCCGTCTCGAGGCCCTCGAGGTTTATTACTTTGGCAAAGTAAGTGATACGCAAATGATGGAGTCCTCTCTGCAGATGTGTAAGGATGTTCTTCATCAGTACGATGAGACCTTCACGTTGCTAAATAATGAAGTTCAACAACTTGTGGATCAGTAGCTTTTTTGCGGATACAATTTTTTTTTTATTATTATATTTTTGTTATTTTTGATTTAATAGAAGTTGCATCCACAAAACTTTTTAAATTCCTATTTCCCATTTTTTCCTATTCTTGGATGCAAAGAGGTACCTACCCACTAACCACTCCAAACGCCGGTGGCTATGCCCTCTATAATAGACTTGGCTAGTTTGGTATAGTCCATTAACTGAAGTTCCGGGAGCTGCGATTCCAGGTTATGGGGGAATCTCAGATAGGACTCGATCAGAACATCCTCCGTTTCACCGGCCAAGCGAGTGACATTAGCGATAAACTCGGGCCTGGTCTGGCGGCTTACTTGTAGATATTTCACCAAGTGAATCTTGACTGTGGCAAAAAAGTTTCTAATGAGAACCTTTTCGCCAGGCAAAATCTCCTCGAGCAGTTTGTCCGGAGTCTGGTGGGCCATCAGCTGGCTGTTGAGCCAGGCAAAGATGTAGTAGGCCGTGCTGTAATAGTCCTCGTTTCCGTTGATAGTGTCCAGATTTTCGAAGTACTGTTGGTCAATGGCTTCGCTGGCATTCAAGTGCTGCCGTCGGAGGCGGGCATCCTCGATGGTGGAGTCCAGGACTCTGTTGTATAGCCTCTCCACCGCTTCTACGGTGAACTGAGACTGAGAAGCCGATCTTCCGGGGCTTTGGGCTGAATCTGTCAAGGTCTGCGGGGCAGAATGCTAATAATTTCACTTATTTAATCTAGAAATACAAACACGCACTAAGCTGATTAGCAGGCAACCAAGACTACATAGTAGTCTGATAACAAGCTTCGAACGCTCTGATCTCGCCATGCTTCCGCGATTGCAGTTGAATAGAAACTGAGACAGAGCTCTACTCGAGACCCCTACTACCCTAATCAGTTAAAACGATCGATCATAGCTTAGGTATAGCTTTGCTTTATTAAGAAAAAATAGTATACTGGTTCGATTTTAGGTGAAAGTGACTTTAGGGAAGTGTTTGCCAAATGCCCGTGACTTCACCATCCCTGATAGCTATAGACATTTTTAGGTAGTTCATCAAATCCAGTTCGGGGAGCTTTTCTTTCAGGAACAGGGGAAAATGCCAGTAGGACTTGATCAAACTGTCATCGGTTTCGTTGCCCCAGCGAGTGACATTGACAATAATCTCTGGAATATCTTGGCTTGTTTCTGTTAAGTGCTTCACCAAGTGACTTTTAACCTTCCTGAAGAATTTATTTATCTCCTCCTTTTCCTTGGGCAGAAGCTCCTCCAGCCACTTCTTCGGTGCCTTTTTCAAGATAACATCGGCGTTAATCCAGCCAAACAAGTAATGTGCCCTACTGTAGTAGTCTTCGTTTAAGGTGATCGAGTCCAGCTCCTCGAAAAACGGTTGGAATGCGGCAACTTGGTCATGAGGCATCTGTTTGCGGGCCTCTGCGATGCTGAAGTCCAGGACTTGGTTAAAAAATCGATGTATTACCTCGACGGTTGCATTATATGGGCAAGCAGACGTTTCGGGGTTATGAGCCTACCAGAAGTAATTAAAATAATATTTATTCGATTTAAAAATCTAGAAGTAAGGGCGCACCAAGCCGATAAGCAAGCAGCTCCAAAATGTAAGAACGATAAGGAGCTTTGGACACTCTGATCTCGCCATGCTACTCCCGAGGAAGCTAAATGGAAACTGATTGGCGGCCCCATTGCTCAGAGAAGCCAAAATAATAAATTTGTTTTTAGGTATAGCTTTTTTTATTAAGCACAAGTAGAAAATATCGCAAGTATTTTGTTCGAACTTGTAGAGTAAGCGAATCAACGGGCACGATTAATCGTTCGGGTCCAGAGACTTAATGAAGCTAACTAGAAAAAGATGGTGTTTCGTCAAAGGTTATCTTACTCTATATACTCCGAGATACAAATTATACATATTCTTAATATTATGCTCTGGATACTTATTCCAATTTGACAAAAGGGGCTATACATTTTATTTTCAGCATTAGTACTTTGGCTTACAATTCAAAGAGCTTTGAAAGATTGTATTTTCTGGGTATGTTTATTAATAATTGAGTTTCGTGTTATTTGTGGTGTTATTTTTGCTCTTAATCCTATAAAAATACAAGCTTAACCGATATGTGGGCTTGTTATAGTTTTTTCCAGAATTTGAAAGTGCAAACGCACAATTCTTTTTCAAGAAAAGATTGACAAGTAATTGATCTTATTTACTTTAATCTTTTTTAATAGGTCTTACCATATATTTAACTTTTACTATATTTTTATTCAGAATTACACGCTTTAGCTTGGAGACTGTGCACTTGCAACAATCTCTTAAAAATATATAAATGAATATTCAAAATTGACTCAAGATAATCTTATGGTATTACCTACAACTATGTAGCTTCATATTTTACAATTTTAATAAAGAGTTTGCGAATGTGGATTTCAATAATGTTTCTCTGGGTCGGGTTTAATATTTAAATAACACATTTTAGTAGGTACATTTTGTTGCTGTAGGACATCCACTGAAACACCGAGTTGCACATTTAAAGAGCGTATATATTTATTTCCGATTATTTAACTTTGCAATATGCAGCTTTTGAGCATTGTACTTGTTTGGTTTCGGTTGGAAAATGATTTTTGCCGTGTTGAGACCTGATAGCAGCCATTGTCAGAGTTTACACTTAAGCACATTTACATTCAATTCATTAAGCTATGTTTATTATATTAAAGCAGAACTCTTGTGGTTCTCTTTAAAAATACATTTACGATTTCTCAAGGTACATTTGACATTTAAGACTCCGGAGTCGCAGGGACTCCAATAGTCCATAACAGGTAACAAAATAGTATTCACAAATAGCAAAATAAAATATGTTTTACTTTCCTTACTCTAATTACGATAATATTTTATGCATTAAATACTTTAAAAATAGTCAGTTATAGTAAGTAAGAAAATATATATATATACTTTATATATCCGAGTGTAAATTCTGTTATCTAGAAGACAGTCTATGAAGTAGAGCTTACAAACTAGTTCGATCAGCTGGGAAACAACTTTGGATACTGATCTTTTGGAAATTGAAATTTGGAAAACTGTACTCTTATTGAGTACATCTTATCTTTGTTTTATCATTAACAATACCACGAGTAAATTTGTATTATTCATATATTAAAAAATTCAATCTAACCTACTTTCACCCACTGCAGCGGGTCCTTACCGGAGCTACTCACCCATTTGCTCTGATTTCTCGGATATGGAAATATTGTCCTCGAAAACGTCTTATTTTCTGTCACAGACTCTTTGCCGGTTTTTGCGAAATTTTTCATACGCTTTTTGTATAGTTTTAAATGAAAATCATAGACAAAAAGGATGAGTTTGTGGTAAAATGATTTATTTGTTTGTGAAATTAAACGTAAAATTAATTCAAAATGCAGTTCTGTTCGTAAAATTAAAACTATAGTCTAGGGTAAATGCAAAGTTTGGAAAACTAAGCTGAGGAAACAAATGTTACAAAAGAGAATCATGTTAAAGCAACTGAAACAGACAGTACAAATCGAGAATCCTTGTATACAAATACAAGGAAGGAAATGGTTTTACTTTTTATCACAATTGCGTATGAAAAATTTCTTTAATTGCTAGAAGCTGCCACGCCCTCCGCTGGCCCCGCCCCCGCTGCTGCTGCCACTGGAGCTGGCCAAACCTGCCGTTGACTGCCGGGGCACCAGTATCCGGGGCAAAGTGAGCGATCTCTTCGGGAAGCCGTGTCTGCCTGTCTCTGCCACCGGAGGCGGAGGATGCAGCTCTTCGGGGCTGTTCTTCCCAACTTCCTCCTGCAGGCCCACCTCCTGCACCCCCTCAGTTGGCTTGCCGCCATTTTCGGTCTGCTGCGAATGTCACGCATACGACTGCGCCGTCTGAGGCATCATTCCACCGGAGTAACCACCTTCGAGACCAGGAGGCCGCTCTACCAGGTTCTTTAGACGCCCCCTTAGCTCCTCCAGACTCTTGGACTTGGCCTTATTGATGCGTTTGTACTTGACGTCCTTGGGCTTGGTCACCGACCGATGGTTGGACATAACTCGGTTGTAATTGGTTACCTGGAATGTGAAAATAATGTTAGGATATTTGGTTTGGTCCAATGATACTATTTGTTACCTGTGTCTTTCCAGTGGGCGGCTCCTGGGAAACTGTTGCCACTGGCGGCGGAGGCGATGGGGGCTGCAACTGGGGAACCTTGACGCTGAGAGTGGTGCAAGGAGCGTCGTGGCTGGGCGATCTTTTGAGAGCGCCGATCTGGCGGCGAGGAATGGCGGCGCCACCTTCCACGGGCGACGAGTCTTTGGCTTTATCTGCGGCACCGGTGGTGGAGCCGGAAGGACTGGGCGCATCTATCTGACCCTCTGTGGAACTTGAGCTCAGTGCTTTATCCGAACGGTTCTTAAACTTGTCCCGCTTTTCGGCCACGTCCGAGGTGGGCTCCGGATCCTCCTCCACCGAGTATACCGTCTCCAGAATGTCGGGACGTCGCAGAAAGCAGTTGTTCCGCCTGGCAGCTCCATACTTGTTCAGATTCGTTTCGATCGCATCGGATATGGAACGCACAATGGTGATGCCATCGCTGCCCAACATTCCGCCACCTGCTCCGCTGCTCTTCCTTCGGGTGCCCAGGGTCATCGGGCCGTCGGAATCGATCTCTTCCAGCACCACCGCCGAATCGGAATCGTTCAGGGAGTCCAGCTCGTTGGCGTAGCTGGCCTCGATCGTTTCCAGGCCGTGATCCACCAGGCGGGAGGAGAGGGTATCGATGACCTTCTGCTGACGTTGGATGGTTAGTTCCCGGTGATTGAGCAAGCTGGCGATCTGCTTCTGTTTCCGCTTCAGGCGCGATTCGAGAAGCAGGAGCTGGGAGGTGAGTGAGTTCATCTGGTCAGACTTTTCCTTCTGGTAGCGGTAGTGTTGTTGAACCTAAAAGGAAAAAATGGTTTTATTGTTTGTTACAAATAAAAATATATCAAATAAGAAGTATATAATTCAGAGTAATAATTATTTATTTTTGCATTTGAATAACAAACTCAATTAGAGATCGCGTGTTTTTATTTTAATGGTTTCGTGAGAGTCTATAATTTAAATAATACCATTGATTTAGGTATCATTTGCAAACAAACTGATCGTGATCTTAAAAATTAAATGTGAAAAATAAATATAGAAAATAAATTAACTTATTTATTAAACTTCATTTTACCTGCATGGCATAAGCCTTTCTCCACTTCATGATGTGCTCCGTTTGGAATCGCACCTTGGAGCGCAGCTCCTCGATGATGGCTCTGGCTGTGTGCAGATCCTTGGGATCTTGATTCATCATATTGAGGCGCAGATTGCTGGTGTGACTGGAAACGGGAACTGGTGGTGGCCATTGGAATTCCAACGGTGGCTGGTTCACATCCGTGGGCAAGGAGCCCCGTGGCTGAGCGGTCTTGGTGGTTTTCGGTGTGGAGGGTACGGTGCCGGCTCCACTTGAGCCAGATCCAGCTGCCACAGGCCCACTGCCACCCCCGGCTGGGTTTCCGGACATGCCACTGGCCGCCGGGGGTTGGGTGGGCTGCTTCTGAATGCTGCACGCCATGCTGCTGATGGTTTTGGCAAATTGTGTCGCTCGCCCGGCATACATTTGGCTGATATATACGGTGTTGCTTTATCCGATGTGTGCCCCGCTGGTGGAGAGCATGCAAGGATGTGCAGTGGTCCGAAGCCCGAGAACGTGCTCCCTGGAAAAGAACACAAGAGTAGCGCATGTTTTATTAATAGCCAATATTTGCCAAGTGGTAGGAAGGAGAAAAAGAGTAGCAACAATTTATAGTGGCACAACACATTTTCTACGGTCTCTACTGATGTCCCCCCCAGATTTTTCAGCAACAATTTATCTCGGCGTATATGCATAACACATATTTGCGGCAATAATTTCGCTGGCTCTTGTTTGGGACACTCTTTCCGAGGAATCCGTCAACAAGCCCGGGGCATGTTAAAACTGAAATTACTCATACGCCTCGTGGGCCCGCGACAGTCGACAGTATGCAAATTCCATTAAAATTCCAAAGAAACAAGTAAAGTGTGGATAAAATGATGAAAACAAAAAATTACATTAAAATCGAATTAAAATTAAATTCTTCAGCCGTTCCGAGCCGCGCATTTTACACTCCTTTGGGAAATTATAATTATTATTTTTATTACGCCAAACCTCGGTAGCTGTTTTTCCGTTTCATTCACAGATAAGGACAGGGACTTCTTTTTATTATTATATTCCACAATTAGGGCAGCTGACGTAAGGCGGAAATTTATGAGCTCATGACTATTGTGGCATTATTAGATAATGTGATTAGTCAGACGGCTTTGCGTCTCATTTAAATGAACATTTTAATTTATTTTATCGTCGCCAATCAAAGTTTCAACTGTAAGACAACATTTGGGCAATTATGCATGATCTATTACCCTTTTATTTAATTACCTAAATGCAATCTGTTCATGCTTGAAGACAAATTTAATTAGTTAACAGATTATTTCTTAAGAATTAGTCACAAGTGGCAATAGTAATTAGTAGTGGTCTTGTTTATTCTTCCGTCGTAAGCCAGATTTAAGCTATTAACTTTAAACTTTTTTCGTTGTGGAAGAGTGCCTGGAG